TACTTTCTTCTGACGCGGTGGCGTGAGAAGATTCGTTCATCGACTCCTCTCCACGTTGTTACGCTTTCCGAAATGGTCGCCATCTCTGCGTTTATCGCCTCCTTTGTTTACCTTCTTGGATTCTTTGGTATCGACTTTGTTCAGTCGATTTTCCGTCCTTCGCATGACGTGTGGACCTCTGAGGACGATGAGGTTGTTATGATTAAGGAGGATACTAGGAAGGTTCCGTGTGGTGCTGGAATTGATTGTTCGATTCCGATTTTGGCACCGCCCTTGCCCTCGGTGCCGAAAGTGGTCGATCTGGTGCCTGTTAGCGTCGATTTGACGGAGGAGGATGAAGAGATTGTTAAATCTGTTGTGGCTGGGACGACGCCGTCGTATTTGCTCGAATCGAAGCTTGGCGATTGTAGACGAGCAGCGGCCATCCGTCACGAGGCCTTGCAGAGAGTGACCGGGAAGTCGCTCTCGGGGCTTCCATTGGAAGGATTCGATTACGCTTCGATATTAGGGCAGTGTTGTGAGATGCCTATTGGATACGTTCAAATTCCGGTGGGAATTGCCGGGCCTCTGTTGTTGGACGGCAAGGAGTATTCTATTCCAATGGCCACCACCGAGGGTTGCTTGGTCGCGAGTACGAATAGAGGTTGTAAAGCGATTATGATGTCCGGTGGGGCCAACAGTGTGTTGTTGAGGGATTCCATGACGAGAGCACCGGTTGTGAGGTTTGCTACGGCGAAAAGAGCAGCGGAGTTGAAGTTCTATGTGGAGGAACCGGCGAATTTCGATACCTTGGCCGCTGTTTTCAACAAGTCTAGTAGATTTGGAAGGCTACAGAGTATCAAATGCGCCATTGCTGGTAAGAATCTCTATATGAGATTCTCTTGCAGTACTGGTGATGCTATGGGGATGAATATGGTATCCAAAGGCGTTCAGAACGTTTTGGATTTTCTCCAGACTGATTTCCCTGACATGGATGTAATTGGCATATCTGGTAAACGAACTAAAATCCTTCTACAACCACTCCACTTCTCTGATTTTCTTGTTTTGCTAATGGGAAGAATTGTATTCGTTTGTGAAACCAGGAAACTACTGTTCCGACAAGAAGCCTGCTGCTGTGAACTGGATCGAAGGCCGTGGTAAATCGGTGGTTTGTGAGGTTGTAATCAAGGGTGATGTAGTTAAGAAGGTCCTCAAGACCAACGTTCAAGCCTTAGTTGAGCTTAACATGCTCAAGAACCTCACTGGTTCTGCCATGGCTGGAGCTCTTGGGGGCTTCAACGCCCACGCCAGCAACATCGTTTCAGCCATCTTTATCGCAACAGGGCAAGATCCCGCTCAGAACGTGGAGAGTTCTCACTGTATTACCATGATGGAAGCTGTGAATGATGGCCAAGATCTTCACGTCTCTGTTACCATGCCTTCCATCGAGGTCAATTACTTTTCACAAAAGTCTTCTCTAGGACCTCATTGTTGAAAGTTTTAGGTAGTTTCTTAAATTCGATCTTAAATGCAGGTGGGTACAGTTGGAGGAGGGACCCAGCTTGCTTCTCAGTCTGCTTGTTTGAACCTCCTTGGGGTTAAAGGCGCCAACAGAGAAGCACCAGGATCTAACGCGAGGCTGCTAGCCACCATAGTAGCTGGCTCTGTTCTAGCAGGAGAGCTATCTCTGATGTCTGCAATTTCAGCAGGACAGCTTGTGAGGAGTCACATGAAGTACAATAGATCCAGTAGAGATGTCACTAGCGCTTCTTCCATCTAACCACAGTCCATCCGCTTCACGGTAATAATCTATCCTCTCAAGACTGTTGGCGATGAAAATTCCCAAAAACGCAGCAGGCGGCCCCACTTTTGAAATCAATGGATGACATAAACACCTCCCATGTAGTAGCTAGCTTGGGAATGACCACAGAACACAATCAACCATAGAACAAAAAGGTTCAAACAAGCAAACCCTTTATGTACTTTGTGTTAATTTTTTTGTTTGTTCGAGTTATATATATATATAGTGTCGTCTCTTGATCTTCTACTTCTTGAATTCAAAATCTGAAACCCCATGTAACTGAAATCATGATATTGTGTGATGTGATGACGAAGTTGTTTTCTTAGTTCTCTATGTGCCAAGATTTCTGTTGTCCTTTTTATGCATTAATGGACTAAGTGAATGAATGGAGTTTGGGATTAAAACAAGGAGATGGGACTTGTGATGCTCTGTCATGGCATAAGGAATCAAAGGGTTGTGGTTATTACAAGGAAAAGTGTCATTGTATACAATGCTATGTGCTGCATCAAGAGATGAGAAATTAAATATAAAAGAAGAGGGTAGTGGTTATGCATTTGTTGTCAGACATGAGAGAGATTTGAGTAAAATTTTGTAGAAGGGATAGCAAACAAAGTCCCATGACTAAAGGGAATCTTTGCCCAAATTCCTAAGATTGCTTCTTGGAAATTGGAAATGGTCAAATACAGAGCCTTTAAGCATACAAGTTGGGGTTTTTGTTTTTAATCCTTCCTCCTCCTCCTCACCTTCCTCACCCCATTACTTAGGTTGCTCAGATGTTCATATTTTAAAATAGAAATCATACCAAATTCAATTTTGGTCACATAGGTTATCACCCAACTAATTGACATTAAAAGTTATGGAGTGGGTCATACCTCGATCGTAGTTCCATCACTGATGATACTCAATCATTCATTCAGATGGTTACAATTTAAGTCCACTGCTAGCTTTAGCTTGTTACAATTTAAGTCCACTGATAGCTTTAGCTTGTTACGTCACAGTTTAAAAATGTCTCTAATAGAGAGAGGTTTCACACTTGTATAAGGAATGTGAGAGGTTTCACACCCGTATAAAGAATGTATTGTTCCCCTCTCTAATCGATATGAGATCTTACAATTCACTTTTCCTTGGATGCCAAAGTCCTTGTTGGCACACCACTCGGTGTCTGACTTTGATACTATTTGTAATAGCCTAAGCCCACTGCTAATAGATAGCGTCCTTGCTGGCACATCGCTCGGTGTCTGGCTCTGATACCATTTGTAGCAGCCCAAGCCCACTACTAACAGATAACGTTCTCGTTGGCACATTGATTGGTGCTTGGCTCTATACCATTTGTAACAGCCCAAGCCCACTGCTAACAGATAGCGTCTTCGCTGGCACATCACTCGATGTCTGACTCTGATACCATTTGTAACAGCCCAAGCCCAAGCCCACTGCTAACAAATAGCGTACTCGCTGGCACATCACTCGGTGGTTGACTCTGACACCATTTATAACAGTCCAAAGACACTGCTAACAGATAGTGTACTCGTTGGCACACTGCTCGGTGTCTGGCTTTGATACCATTTGTAACAGCCCAAGCCCACTGCTAACAGATAGCGTCCTCGTTGGCACATCGCTCTGCTCGATGTCTGGCTCTGATACCATTTGTAGCAACTCAAGCCTACTGCTAACCGATAGCGTCCTTGCTGGCACATTGCTCGGTGCTTGACTCTGATATCATTTGTAACAGCTCAAGCCCACCGTTCACAGATATTGCCCGCTTTGGCTCGTTACGTAGCCGTCAATCACATGATTTTAAAACGCCTATGCTAGAAAGAGATTTTCACACATCATAAGGAATGTTTCGTTTCCCTCACCAACCAATATAGGATCTTACAAAATTGATTTAGATCAAAATTCCTCTAACAAATTGGAGTAGAGTTGTAATGGTTTCCTTTATGGTTTCTTTTATTGACTTTACTTTAGAACTATAGTTGCTTTTTTAGGTATAAGAAAGAGAAGGAAATCAAAAAAAAAAGAAAGAAAGCAATAAATGTATGTTTATCTTTATAATGAAATGCTTTTCAAACTCGAGATATGAATGATTTAGATGTAAGGAAAAAGTGTTCGAAAAACACTTCATGCTCTTAGGACATTCTCAACCTCCTCTCATGCTTTTTGTAGTTACCTCTATTATTGTCACGTCATATTAGAAATGCATACTTAATTGTTAGACTAATTTACGCAATTCTAAGCTTTTTAATAAAAAAAAGCAAATAATATTTCTAGATTATAAATCATTTTAAAAAAGATATATATAATCTCCAATCATTTTTAGATCTCAAATTAATTGACAAACTTAAAAGTTTAAAAACATATTTGAACACTTCAAATAGACACAAAATCGTTTAACTCGTAGGAACACACATGGAACGGAATATGAAATCTCAGTTTAAATGGAAAATAAGAAGAGCGACTTCTCACTCACTTTTTACCTATAAAAACAAATATATGCATATGCGTGCATATATATATATTAAAACATTTGTGCGAACTTTTTTTTAAGTAATATTTTAAATAAATAAATAAATATATATTGTATATATTAAAAATTAAGAAAAAATTTCATGGAGGAAACTTGATCCCTACAGATTCTCTTCTAACCTACTCTCGAATCCCCCACAAAGAACGGGGGCAGGATTAGGAACGAGAAAGGCTTCTCCCTTTCCGCCCCCTCGTAGACATCTCTAATTAAACTTAAAAATTTTGAGGCAATTTTTTTTCCGTTCAATCATATATGGAGTGAAAGGATTTAAACCTCTGGGTCGACGATATACACTTCTAACATCAGAGATTTTAAAGTGAAAAAGAACATTTTTGTGTCATACAGCCAAAGCCAAAGCAATGGGCAGCGGCACGCCATTGTTGCAAGTGGAAGCATCCTTTTATATTAGGCTTTAGTCCTTGGAAGGCATTGTTGGATAGCTATAGTCAATATTGGACTAAAGACAAATTGATTCAGATAACACCAATACAATGTATCTCGAAACGACCCGAACAATCAAGCTACACGTGTGGTAGCAAATTTATGGGTGCTATTCAACAATTCAACGTTGCCCATTAAAGCTCATATTTAATGAGCTTATGAGCTTACTAATCAGTGTCATCTTAGCCGACATGATTGAAAGTGAGTAGCAGAAGAGACGTTGAAGAATTCTCAGAATTGATTTCACCAGAAGCATGAAATGAAAAAGTACTGAATATTAGATGGTATTACTTGAAAACTTGAAGAACGTTTAACAATACACATTCTATTTACTTTACAAGAATCACTCAAACAAGACGAGAGTTGTTTGAGTCATTAGGATATGATAGCATTCATCTTCATAATCCTAGTCGAGGTCGATAGCAGCCATTAATGGCAGACGTTCAGGATGGTTCATCCTAGATCCAACTACCTCTTTGTGGCATACACAGATGGATGTTTATATAGCATATTTCCATGGAAAAACCAAAGAAACGTTCACAATTCAGAGAGTACTTACATGACACACACTAGAATGCTCCTTTCAATACCACGGTTGCTCATTCGTCGATTCCCCATTGTTAGTCATTAGAAGGAAGAACCAGTAAAAAGATGAACGCAATGGACGGATCGTATCGACTTGGGCGGAGGATGGCATCCATAAAGAGAGAAATTGCTTGTTTCTTGTATTTTGTGAACATTCATTCTTTCAAACTAAGCCTCGCATTCTGGACCTTCACAGATAACTTCAACTTCTGCTCTTCCATGTCCCTTAGAACAGCTAGGAGATTTGCTCTGTACACTTCACAACGTTGATTTGTTCTTTCTAACTCTGCAGAAAGCTCACGAATTTTCTTCTCCTTCTGTTCCTGGAAAAAGAAGAAACAAATAAGAAAATGCATTATGTCCTAAATCTTCATTATCTTATCGGTGTTCTCAACCCCCCTCCATGGTAGGCTACATCTAGCTTTGTCCCTTCACTACCTCAGAGAGGAAAGTAGATATGAAAATTACCCAGACAAGAACAAGAACACAACCCACATGACTGCTACCAACCTGAAACTAATTAACTAAAAGCTTGAAAAATCTATTGACTCGCTTCGACATTGAGCAAGAGACGGTAAGAGCATATTCTTCTGGTTAATTTAATTTAAACAAATGCAAAGAGAAGCACAACAGATGCATCAAAGAAGAAAAGTCAAGCACATAAATAATTAGGATAAAATTACAAATATGGTGAAAGAAGTGGCAGAGGAAACAATAACGTAAGCAACTAAAATGAGAGGTCAATTGAATTTTTCTTAACGAAAAGTTTGATTTCTCAATAAAAATCAAGTACGCTGGAGGCAATAAAAATTTGATTTTTATTGCAAGAGCCAATCTGTACCCATCTGAAGATGTGTCGACGAATACATCAGCTAAAATGGAAAAGGGAATGAATGCAATCCAACCACAGTACATTATAGGACAAGAATAACTCGGTAATGTCTACGCGACCCAAATCTAAGCATTACTATTAGCATTAACTAATGAACTTTCCAACCCACCGGGTTAACCCGGTTCGAAAGTAAAGCCTGCCAATGAACTCTACAACATTTTTTCATCAAGAGCCTCATGAAATATAGTATGTTTCCCAATACTTTAGATGTCACTCAAATACAATGCTCAATTTTTGGGTTAAAATAGTCGAAGTCGCTCCACTCAGGAGAAGGGGTGTAGGATCATTGATAAATAGTGATAGACTTCAGTGGATTTAAAACTGCAAACTAAAGAGACTAACCACAGATTGATAGGTTGCTGTCTGATCCTCTTCTGTTGCAATCAAAGCCCCAACAACTCCATTGGCCATAATATCACCATTAGTAGCTCCAGGGCCCCGGTTCTTCACAGCTGCAACCTTTCTAGAGGCCTCTTTTAGGGCATCCATCGCCGCGTTATAAATATGAATTGACTTTGCTCCTTCCTCAACGTACTTGATTGCTTCTTGACGAAGCTTATTGTACCTAACAGTCGAAGAATCTCCAGCTTCATTTGGTAATTCAGAATTATGGTCATCTATTGCATCTCCATTTCTGGCATTTCTGGTCCACCGTTTCAATACATATTGGGAAGGAAGTGTAAGAACATTTTTTGCCCTAAAAACTGCTAATATATGCCTGCAAATTATTCCCGAGTATTCAAACAGTTGACAGCTGCAATTAGCTTTCATCTCAAATGAATTAAAACTGACAGCATGTGCTTTATGGTCTTCACCAAATTTTGCAACTCGATAAGTGGCAACGGTTCCTGAGTCGTTAATTTTGGTAGCAGGATTGGCAAGAGTTTCTACCAATTCCTCCTGGAACTTTCTGAATATCCTCCTCGAATATAGATCTGCAGCCTGTTTTTCCATTGGAGATGGTGTTTTCAGAACTGGCATAGAGTTAGTTGTGTCATAATCAGCTTTTAATTCTTTTTCATGCCAGCTTGCCATTGCCTTTTCATACTGCCTAACCAACATCTGTATCGTGGTGGATGCAGTAACATATCCATCGAAAAACAAATTCAAACTCTTATAGCTCTCATTTATTGACAGTTCTCCAAAGAAAGTATCCCTCATGTAAACGGGTACCCACTGTTGTCTAGCACTATACATTAACTGAAGCCAGTCATTATCCATAATGTAATATCTATTCAGAAGGGATTCCCAACAGGACTCAAATTCTTCAATTGTCTCAGCCTCATTAACACATTTTCTAAATTCAGTTTCGAAAGTAGGATGAGATTGACAGAGATGAGACAACTTCTCTAGTGTCTCTCTGAATATAGCCCACTTGCAAAAACGATGTCGGGTACCTGGAAGAACCTGCGCAACAGCAACCTGGATAAGCCTCTCTGGGTCAGTTGTAATGGAAATTGGTTGGCGTCCAGACATTGCTTGAAGCCAAGTTTGGAAGAGCCAAATGAATGAAGATTCAGACTCATGAAGAACCAATGCACATCCAAACAACACTGGCTGACCATGATGATTAAACCCTGTAAACGCAGCAAGAGGCACCCTATACTGTTTTTTTCTAAATGTTGTATCCAATACAACGGTGTCACCAAAGTATGAATAATTCATTCTAGACGTTGCATCTGCCCAAAATATATTCCCTCCAGACTGATCACCATCGCCCTGAACTGCATAATATAAAGCAGGATTCTCAGCCTGCATTCGTTTCAGATGGTCTAAAACATGCTGAACCCCAACTCCGAGGGTCCGCTGCCGGCCACCACTCATTTCTAAAGGAATTCTACAAGAATCGGGAGAATTTTCCTAAAGGACTTCCATCTCCCTCACTATCCTTCGAGAGATATAACCGCGGCTTTACAGAAATGGATGATCTTCAATTTTCTCGAATAGACCGAAAACACGAGTTAAGGAAACTCAATCGTTTCATACGAACTGAAGATTTGTACAATCAATTAAGAGTCCTAAACTTCTCGTATCTGAAAACAAAGTGAAATTCGCAAAACCAGAAGCTATTGACACCGTGTAAGAAACTGAAACAAATTGGGGAAATGAGAAGAAATAAGAAGAATTCCAATCCTTAATTCGTAAGAATAAAAATAGCTACGTAAATTTCGAACATAAATAGCTAAAACGATCGCTTGATTACCAGTGACAGTGACGGTAACCTAATCCCTTCGCCGGATCGTTCTAGGGTTCCGATGGCTGCCATTTCCGTTGTTTTTATTTTTTGTTTTTTCATGGCTGTTTATTTTCGTTTACATATGGGCCTGAACATACACGTGCCAGGCCCAATTCTACAACCCGTAGTATATTCACGCACGTACCGAAACCGAGGGCTCTTTTTATTTAAAAAAAAGTATGGAAATTTAACCAATTATTGATAGCTATTTTCATATTAGCCAATTTAATTTCTTATGTTCTATTATTTTGATTAAAATATTATATTAAATTTTGAGTTACATGATATGATACATACTTAGTTTCTAAAATCACCGTTCAAATCTGTTACTAGTAAATATTGTCCATTTTCGTCCGTCACCTATCGTTGTCAGTCTCACAGTTTTAAAAAGTGTATATTAAAGGGAAGTTTGCACACATTTATAAGGAATGTTTCGTTACCTTCTCTAATCGATGTGGGATCTCACAATCCATCTCCTTGGAGCTCAACGGTCTTCGTTAGAACACCGCCCCATATCTAGCTAATACCATTTGTAACAGCCAAAACTAACCGTTAGCATATATTGTCAAAACTCTTCGGTCCATTACGTATCGTCGTTAGTCTCACGGTTTTAAAACACATCTACTAAGGAGCGATTTTCACATTATCAGAAGAAATGTTTCGTTTCCCTCTCCAACTCATGTGAGATCTTACAAAGGATGAGTAAGGTTTAACCAACACGAGCATGACTCAATTAGTTCGAACATTATAATTTCAATCAAAAAGATCAAGAGATTCAAATCTACCCCTCACGAATCGTTAAACATGAACGAACTTGATACGAACCACAACCAAGGAATTTCCATACCTCAAGGTCCAATTACAAGGATGAGAGCCAAGAAGCTACAACAAACCTTGTACACTTATATTCAAGCTATGATGAGCTCATAAAAAAAAATTATAGAAGACGTTGAAGATCTCCCTTATATGTTGTGCAAGAGCTTTACAAAAGAAATGCTTTAAGTTGCATTTAATTGACCCAGCTAAATTTATGGAACTAGTTAATGGTGACTAATAACTACATTTCATACTATTTAATTATAATTTAAATATTTGTTTATCATATTTAAGCTAGTTTTTAATAGAGGAATTAAGGTTATATTCTAACCCACATACGTTACCATATTTACCATATTCCACCGTCAATTAGCCATTTTAATATAGAGGTTATGAGTATTTCTCATCTACTAGCCAATTTAACTAGGTTGTAAAGGTTGTATAAAGGCATTTTTTTTTTTTTTTTTGACATCACAATAGACAATTTCTATTTTTTTAAAAAAATTCTTGTGTTTAGAAATTGCATGCTAGAGTCATTCAAGTGGTATTGATCAAACCGTGATTTGAATCACGAGTTTTCTTTACTCTTGATCTTGATAATCAAGGTAATTCGTTCCGTATTTTTCCTTGGATGGATTCCTTGAACTAAAAAATAGAGAAGAAAAGTCTAAAGTTGAATTATTTTGATGGAGAAATGATAAATTTTATTACTTAATTTAGTTATCCAAAGAACATTCTGATTCATTTTGTTTTGTTTACGGAAGGCACCAAGAACCTAACTGATAGATCCACTTGCCCAATTCTCTTCTGCTTTTTCAAGTAATGCCTACAATCCAACAACAACTGGTGATCATACCTCCTTTTCTTTCATTAATATCCAGATTCTGTGGGACACTCCTCCCTTTATTTGCCTTCCATACTAAGGGAAACACCACCAACATTCCCTCGATCCGTTCTAACGACATTCGTCCGGCTATCGCTCGATTTCTTTGCTTTTTCTTCTTTGACGTTCTTCCTCACTTTGATCCCAAATCTAATGAATTAGAGTAAGAGAAACGTTAAAATCGCACATCAACATACACACTCGATCTAGATGAACGCAAAGAACATGTGACAGAAAATGCAAGATAGAATATAGAGAACCCAGAAAGTACATTTTCGAGCTCTCATCCTAACACCTATCTGTGTAGTCCCTAATCCAACTAGGACTAGTTTACATGTTTGCCTATTTCTACACTCAATAAAAGTCCATATCTGTAGCTAACTACCCACATAGTCCTTAGTTTTCTCAAGAACTGGTTTAATCACTACACGAAATAATGAATATGATAGTATACGAAAAATCTTATCATAGACTTTTTATAGTGTTTTTCATACGTCGTGACAGCCCATGTTATTAAAAGTCGAGATTTTTTATAGCGTTTTTTTATAGCTATAATATAGTATAAAACTATAGTTTATATACATTATTATAAAAACATTTTGTAGCATTTAGTAAGTTAAATATAACTAAAATATATCTTTAATCTATTATAACATTTTTTTTACGCTATAATATAGTATTCATAACTTTAATCTTATGCTATAACAATACTATTTTACCATTTTACGGGATTAGAGTGTCGACCCTTGACCCAAACTCTACATTCAATAGTAACTCAAAACACGGACCAAGAGGTACATATATATATGGTTCAGTTTACTCTATATATATATACAGAGGTTTAACCGATATTAACCATCTATTATATATAACTTTATTACGTATAACAAGCTAAAAATATGCAACATGCTACGTAACCCAACAAGAAAGAGAAAGAAACAGATGACAAGTTTATCGAGAATACGTTCATATTCCCAATGATTGAGCGTTGATAAAACTACGCATTATATAGGTGTCAAAGATGCACATAAACAGCATCAAATTCTTCAAAAACTTTAATAGATACCCAACAATTACTTCTTATGTCAACCGAATAAAGATATTCTTCTAATCGTAAACCCTAAGCAAAGCATCTACCAATGCAACATATTCCAAAACAACCCAATCAAGGTGAATCCTTCCACCTCTCAACTCACCTTCATATAAGCACAATTCGAACTACACAAACAATAAAACGACGACAACAACATGAAGATCGAAAAAGAGCTAACCCACCCAATCCACCCGCGCCACAAGCTACGTCTCGAGTACACTGAAACCCCTTACAACTGCGATGGGTGCAAGGAAGCTGGCATTGCCTACAAATACAAATGTCACCAATGTGCCTTCACCTTACACAAGGCGTGCGCCATTGCCGCGCCACGAACCACCCACCCATTCTACCAAAAATGCGAGTTCAAATTATACTACCATCCCCCTGGAAAATGCAAGCGCGTATGTGATGCATGTAGAACCTACGTGCATGGATTTGTGTACCATTGCGATAGCTGTGACTTTGATCTACATCCTTGTTGCGCGAACCTCCCGCAAGTCCTCAACGACGGGAAGTGCGATCTCTACCTTTGTAGCAAGCTCTCTAGCTCGTGTCACGGCTGCGGCGGAACGGGGCTCGGTTGGTCTTATAGATCGCAGTGCGGGGCGTATAATCTTCATCTTTCGTGTGTGAAGGAGATGCTGGTGGAGAGCTGGTTAGCTGTGTATTTGAATGTGGATAAGAATAGGGTTAGGCAAATGGTTACGAGTATTCCAAGGCTTAAGGGGTCGCTGCAAAACCGTCCTGTGGTAAGAGGATCGGTTGGGAAGTATGGTCAGATGGCTGGTGCTGCAGCCCGTGCTGTTGTCTCGGCTGTTTTGGGGGACCCTACGGCTATGGTTGCAGCTGTGGTTAGTGGCATCATATCGAAGTGATGGTGGCTGCATGTGTGCTTGATTTTGTTTGTAAACTACATACTATGAATGTACGTAGTTTAGGTAACTTTGGATTAAATAATTGACTTTATGTATTGAAAATATATTTATATTAAACGGGATGGGGATGACGACAGTAAAAATAATTTCGTCTCCAACCCCATTTATCTAATGCGAAAAAATTGTTTTCCAATCTATCATAGTTTATGAAACGTGGAATCTCTTCCGCATTGGATTTGAACTCTAAAGTTATATCAAAGGCCTATTCTTTTCTTTCTTTGATCGTGCATATTAAAAAATAAAACATATTAAAAAGTAAACATCATTAGTAGAACATTAAAAAGTTATAAAGGGGTCTTTAGCTCAGTGGTAGAGCATTTGACTGCAGATTAAGAAATCATCGGTTTGAACCCGGTCATATTACCTTTTTTTTTTTTTTACAATTAATATCATCCCATCGGTCTGCAACGGTGATTTGACTGCATATTATTATATCAAAAGGGGGTTCTTAGCTCAATAGTAGAGCATTTGGATTCACTAGTTCGAATCTGGTAGAAACTTTTTCTTATGATCATTGTATTGTTAGGTCGTTCAGCCCTTCTCTTATTAAACAAAAAAATTACCCTTTTCATTAATATCATAATTATTCAGACCCTTTTGATGGTAGATTAAGAGGTCATTGTTTGAACCCTATTAGGCCCTTCTCGAACAAAAAAAATATAAATATTTTTTAGATATTTAATCATCAACCCATTATTGCACGTGCAATAAATATTACAAAATAAACCTTTTATTATAAACGTATGTTGTTATAATTATATAAATGACATATTTAATACTTTTCTTTCAAAAAAAAATATAATCAGTACATTACATACGTCACGAGTTTTTAGGATTTATCAAATAATTCCATTAAAAAAAATGAAGCTTATAACGAACAATTACTACTTGTAATAAAAGAAGGCATAAAATTGATATTAATTACGCTATTGCCACTGTTTCCTTGCCCAAAAGTACAGAGAAAACCGCTCCAGCTCAGATCGGATCAACAAATGAAATCGTCGATCTTCATCCACGTCATTCGATTGAACACGTGGAAGTACCCTTCGAGTCCAGGGGCAGCGCGCCTGAGGCCTGACCGTTAACGGAAGAATATATTTATATTTTTAGTTTAATTATTATTTATTATTTATCCCTTTTCTCCCGCCGATTACTCGGTCTTCCCTCCGACTTTTTTGAGGCTTAGAGAAATCTACCATTTCCCCGTTGCTCTCAGTTCGCATCTCACTTGGAAAGCCATGGTGCTGAGCTCGAATCGTCTTCTTGCTTGAGCCAACTACTAGTTATAACGCTTCTTCTTTCTAATTCGTTCGTTCCAGATCAATGTACTTGTGGAATTGAAGCTTTGTTTGGTTTGATTCTTGTTGATTTGATTGTGGATTTTGTTGAATCATTGATCTCGGGGAAGCGCATTTTGTTTTTTGCACATTTCTGGAGAGATCAGTGAGAAGTTAGGGTTGTTCTTGTTTTTTTGTTGTCGATTGTTCTGTGAATGATTTTTGGCGATCTGGTTTTCAGGGTTTTTTTCCCCCAGTTGTTTGATAGTTGTAGATTAGGAAGATGTTGGGTCGGTCTTCTCTTTACAGAACTGGAAGCTTTCGACCAGAGAATCTTGGTCAGAATGCGCTTGCTCTTATTGGGAATCTTTGTTTCACTCTGTTTGTGATTGGGGTTTTAATTTTTACGATTATTGCTGCCACATACGAACCTGAGGATCCTCTTTTTCACCCATCCACCAAGATCACTACCTTTCTCACATCAAAATCCAATGCCACTTTTAAAACTGATAGCACTGTGATGAAGACTGGGGAGGATTTCATGGCTGCCAATCAAACTGCATTTGAAACTTTTCTCAATGAAACTGATATTGTTAAACTGATTGATGCGGAAAACTCTGCTTTGGGTACTGCTGCTGAAGGAACTTTGCCTGAGTGCAATGTCAATGTGGATGACCCGATCGATTGCCGTGACCCTGAGGTTTTCCATTTCATGATGGAGACCACCATAGAACGATTCAAGGACATTCATTTTTACCGGTTTGGGAAACCAGTTCGTGGATCTAACGATAGCACCTGTGATATGGCGTGGCGGTTCCGGCCCAAGGAAGGGAAGATTGCTTCTTTTTATAAAGATTATAGGAGGTTTGTGATTACTAGATCTGCGAATTGCACTCTTAGTATCATTAGCATTGGTGAGTACCATACTGGTGTGAATGCAAGGAAGAGGAAAAAGAATCCAAAACATAATTTTGAGAAGAAAATGGAGCAGCTAGAGAAGGCTGTCTCTTTGCCTGTTGTTGGGGAGGTTGTGAATGATTCCCTTCCCGTGGTTGAGTCTGAAAGCTCATTTAGTCACGGGAAGTACTTGCTTTATGAGATGGGTGGAGATAAATGCAAAAGCATGAACCATTACTTGTGGAGCTTCTTGTGTGCTTTGGGTGAAGCTCAGTATTTGAATCGTACGTTGGTTATGGATTTGAAAATTTGCCTGTCATCAATATATACTTCATCGAATCAAGATGAGGAAGGAAAGGATTTCAGGTTTTACTTCGATTTTGAGCATCTGAAAGAGTCTGCATCCATCTTGGACCAAGGTCAGTTTTGGTCCGATTGGGAGAAATGGCAAAAGAATGACCGTTTAGGTCTTCATCTTGTTGATGATTTTCGGGTCACACCTATGAAACTTGCAGATGTAAAGGATGCCTTGATATTGAGAAAGTTCGGGTCTGCAGAGCCAGATAATTATTGGTACCGGGTATGTGAAGGAGAAACTGAACCTGTAGTTAAGCGACCATGGCATTTGATTTGGAAATCAAGACGACTAATGGATATAGTATCTTCAATTGCATCGAGAATGAATTGGGATTATGACTCGGTCCATATAGTGAGAGGCGAGAAAGCGAAGAATAAGGAGCTCTGGCCAAATCTTGATGCTGATACTTCACCTGATACTCTTCTGTCGACGTTACAAGACAAGATTGAGAATGGAAGGAACCTTTACATTGCTGCAAATGAACCAAACACAGATTTCTTTGACCCTTTGAAAGATAAATTCTCTACTCATTTCCTCAACGATTACAAGCATCTTTGGGACAAAGACAGTGAATGGTACATGGAAACAATGAATCTTAACAATGGCGTACCGGTTGAATTTGATGGATATATGAGGGTATCAGTTGACACAGAGGTGTTCCTAAGAGGGAAAAAGCAGCTAGAAACGTTCAACGACCTCACGAATGATTGTAAGGATGGAATCAATACCTGCAGTGTTGCATCCAATTAGTATGAAACCCGAATCCCATTATTTATTTATGGAAACTTGCCGAGCTGAGGTCTTGTTTCTGTTGCCTTGAGAATCAATTGATAGATAAGAAATGACTTAGCTTAATAATGAGTTTTGTGCTTGCATTAATAACTTTCCTTCAGTTGGATCTTCCTAATTTTTAACTTGTTGAGGGTTGTCTCTACTGAGTATAATGTATTATATGTTTCGAATTTGCTAATGATATTTAAGACTGTTTTTAAGGAATCTTATATAGGTTTAGATTATCGTTCGAAAAGGAAAAATATGAGCAGGAAAAAGAGATTCGGGTTCGTAGCAATGCAATTCTGAGGAGGAAAGTGTTGAAAGGGAAGTAGCTGCATTAACTCGAAATGTAAAAAGTCCGTCTCAAGGCTTCATAAACACGAAAAAAAGCAGAAAGCTTCATATTTACAATGAAATAACTGACGTCTGAGACCCATCAACACTCATCACGCTTCAACTCCTCATGCATATGGAAGGTACAAATGCTATGGCCTGCGGATGCACTTTTAAGATTATCTACACTATGCTGCTGTACATGGAATGAAATTCCTCAACCATAATATTCATAATGCTCACCAGAAGCAGGAAGCTGTGTCTTCTTCGGGCATGAACGGAGTTCGACACAGAGGACATGTAAGGTTCCAGTAGTCCAGCCACTTCTCCAAGCACACTCTATGGAAAAGATGACCACAAGATAAATGGTTTATCTCTGAATCAGGTGCAAACTGGGTTAGGCAGACAGAGCAGTCATGTTCGAGCAATTTGCAGCTGTGAACTTTGTTAAACAGAATTGCTGGGATTCGGCTGCGGAACTCTTCGATGTAATTTCCATTCGGGTTAAGATGGAATTCTATGGATTCAGGAGCATTCTCCATGGAATCTGGCGAGGATGGTAATGTAGGCGACGAGAGATGGATGCCAACAACATGAAGAATCGACCGAACTATGCCTTTGAAGATAGATATCGATAGGGCCGTATTTACAAGGATCACACCCAGTACTCCTTCAGAAGGCGCAGGAAGGCTGGACAGACCCATAAGTTTGTTTGAAATATGAAGAACTGGGATCAGCTCAGATGAATCAAAGAAGATCAGTAGAATGTATAAGAAGTCACTTCTGAGTTCTGAGTTCAAACGGTTCTGTAGTTTGATCCTTTTGTTGATATCTGATCTGAAAATGCACAAAGCAACTTATCAAACATCGTATAGAAATAGAGCCAAATCTGCTGAAAGATTAATGAATCGAGTGTACTCCTTTCTTCTATGATCCTAGCTCCCAACAGGAAAACGAAGATTAAGGAAGGCAGAAAAGTATATACTGGTAATAGAAACTTCCTTGAGAGAAGATCTGTTTAGATGCAAGGGCCAAGAACATGGAATAGAATCATCAAGATAACCTTCCACTGACAATTTCATTGCAGGAGAAAGAGAGAAGAAAGAACAGCAAAAGAAACAGAGAGAAACCCAACATTCTAGAACACAGAGAGTTTCGATTTACCCAGAAACGATCCAAAAAGATTGAAAGAATGATCAAAATATCATCAGAAGAACACCGATTATGCAAAGGGAAATCAATCCAGTTCGACCCCCCCCCCCCCCCCCCCCCCCCCCCCCCCCCCCCCCCCCCCCCCCCCCCCCCCCCCCCCCCCCCCCCCCCCCCCCCCCCCCCCCCCCCCCCC